CAGAGGCTTTGATTGTCTTACTCCGCATATGTTAATGTGTGAAGCATCCTGAGAGGCTGTGAAYGAGTAAATACATCCTATCATGGCACGAAGACAACTTACATTCCTAGAAATTATGACTCAGTACCACTTGGTAKTATTTCTGCATCGCTATCTGTGCTACAATTATTTTTCCAACCTCTGCTCTYGAGCACTCAGAGCAGTAACTTTCCCCACAGCTCTGTGACTGAGAACACCAGCCTGGTGCTGGCTGCTATTCATTCACACCCTTTTAAATGAGAGAGGGAGAGACCTGTGTTTGTTGTGGAGATTATAAACAGCAATAGATTCTTTCTGGAGACTGTCGTTTGCTCCTGGGATTTGCCTGCACTAAGCTTTGGGCTTTTAGTTTCTGATCAGGGATGTTAGCATTAAACACTCAAAGAAGTGCTCAGAGCCCCTGTTAGAAAGAGTGGGAGCTCTTTTCTCCCTGSCTTGGTTTTAACCCTCATATTGGGTCTGCAGGTGACTCTGCTAAACTGTGCAAGGCCTGGGTCCTTTCTACTCTGTGAATCTCTTTCTAGTTAGTGGATATTTCTTGCAATTAGCTTCTTACCTCAATCTGTCTTGCATGCACTGGAAATGCCATGGGAATTTCTATGGGGGCTTTCAGCTCTGAATTACCAGTTGAGCACCAAATCTAAACTGGAGCTGCAGCCAGGAATTCTCATGAATAGCTGATCTCCTGAGATTTCCCTGTACTGGAGCAGGATCTCTGGAGCAGGAATGCAGCAGGCAGTTGCAGTGAGRCCAGGCTGCATGCCAGCTCCTGGCTGTGGATCCCAACATCCTTTCCTCCCCATCCCACAGAGCTCTGCTGCACTTGGCATGGCCCCCCATCTCTCAGCGTGCAGTGCCATCCTCCCTTTGCTTCCTGACTGCTCCAGCTGCCTGCCTTCCATCTGAGCCATGTAAACGGAGCTGTTTCTTAGCCTTTTCCCCGCACCATCACCCTGCCTTAATTCCCCCAGAGAACGTTTGAAGAAACCTCTGCCTTCTCTGCCATCTCACACAGCYTGTGCTGCTGGCCCCGCCCTTACAGACCCTGCCTGCCTCCCACTGCTGCCTGSGCCAGCTCTCCTGGATCTGCACTGCAATTCAATGTGACAGTGACATCCCCATCCTGTGGAAACTGAGTGAAGACCTTCTTTTGTTGTGAGAAGGTAACATTTAAAGGCATCCCTTGTGTTACTCTATCTGGGARCCCAGCTGGTCTTTTGTGTGAGTGCCACTCTTTTGAAATGCCAGCTCTGGTCTTCAAGGCAGGCAGCAGAAGGTACAGCTGGCTCTCACTGTAATTGATTTCTCATCATTCATCACTGGCCTTTATTCTACCTTTTGATTGGAAAGAAGGAATAATGCAGATTACAAGACAAATGCAAAGATTGCCTTGTRTGAGAAGAGGTAACAACAGGATTGCTGGTGTCCTAGGATTTCCCTTTTGTTTGTCTGTCTCTGGTCAGCTRGAGAGATCCAGCAGCAGATAGATGGTCTGTCTTTTTGTGTGCTTCACCATCAAGTGATCTTAAGAAATGCCAAACAGGGGAGAGGAGGAAAGAGCAACAAGGAGAAAAATAACAAAACCATCCACCTGGTTTTGGATTCTGATACAGGAAAGTAGGCATGACTGCAGTATGAAACCAGGCAAAATGGGTGACTGCAGCAACTGGCACTGGAGAACATCCYGGATGGGCCTTTCACATCTCCACTGATGAGGGGCTGGAGAGCAGCTTCACACTTGTTCTTCTTCAGTTTATAACCTCTGGAAAGGAAGATGACTTGGAGATTCCATAGTCCAAGTTTGCAGTGTTTTATGGCTCTGCCTTGAGCACAAATCTGGAGGTTCATTTATAAGTACCTCCATCACAGGTTACTCACCCTYAACTTGACTGGCAGCTGGCAGCAGACTGACACATGGTAGAAGAGAGGAAAGTAGAAGAGCTGCACAAACTTTAACATCTACAACACTGTGGACTCAGTTCAGATGGGACAGCGGTTTCAATACTGTTTCAATACTTGATCTTCAAGCAGTCTCTGTCATGCCTCCCAGAAGTGTATTCCCAGKGACAGCATTACTGGACAAGTGAGGTATTGTAGCTCCTTCCCAGTCTCAGGGAGCCTCTGTAATTTAGCAGGGATTGCAGGTTGGAGTGTGAGACCTGGCTGCCCTTCACAGCTCTGACTGATTTCTGAGACAGCCACGGGCATGCTAACTCCCCTGTTTTGACCTTCAGTTTTCCCTGTGTAGACAGGAGTAGTGGAGCTCTGCRTGTTTTGAGTAGATAAGGGAGCTTCCTTTCCAATTGTAAACCATTTGAAGAATGMCTGCTTGTATTTGCTATTGTTGTATTAGGGAATTCAGGGGCCAAAAGGTTGTTTTTCCTGATGCTGCAAGGACATGGAGCTGTCAGCCAGGATATGCTCAGGCTTGGTTTGGGTCTAGGCCAGGCATTCACAGCCAGTGCTTTTGAGGCACTAATTTGCATTCCAGATGCTTCTCTGGGTTTCTATCTCGCCTTTGCTTTTTTCCTAGGGTATCAAAGTTCRTTTGCTGCGTGATTTGTCCCAGTGCTGGCTACTCAGCCAGGCTATTGTTGCAGCAAATCCTAGCTACAAGTCCCCAAATGAGGATAGAATAGACAATGGTTGTTTTTAATCCTTGCTTGCTAGCAGCTTCATATTAATTCTTCATTTGCTCTCAATCCCTCACCTCAGCAGCTCTGGTGTCTGTAATTAGCTTCTCTGAACACACTCCTRTTGACATTGATCTGTGGGGTTATGTAGTTCCTGCATGAGCTGTCAGTTTGGACAAGGGGCTCTGTGAGGACCACGTCTCCTTAGAGAGAAATAGCTTAGGAATAGCTTGCTTTTCTTCATAGGAAGCTACTGAGGGCAGGGAAGGTGCCAAGAAACCAGCAGGTTTTGCCAGAGACTCCTGCAGTGACTTCTCTCATCTGTGGCGCTGTGGTTCCAGGAGGGAGGTCTCACTGCCTTGGTTCTCCCAAGGTTGTGCAGTGCTAGCTGGTCTCAAGAGAAAGAGAAACAAGCTATTTTTCTCCTTATCATGGGTTGTGGAGGGCATCCCAAACTGAGTACCACCAGGGAAGCGATTTGGATGCACTGTCTGTGTCCTGTCAGGCCCTCAWCTAGCTTTCTCAGCCAGCCTTGCTGCTAATGCTTCCTAATATTTCCACACAATAATGTGCCTTCTGTCCTCATTTCACTAAATTATATACATATTTCATTTTTTTAACCTTTTCTTGTAAGTCATTCACTCAGAATCTAAACATTTCATCATCTTTATTATGCTCTGAACTCSGTGTGATGTATCTCTCACTTTCTGACAGCCAAGCACTTGATGGGAGTGTTTCCAGGACCCTGTCCTTCACACAAGTGCCCTTAAGGTGGATGTGCCAAGAATGAAGGATCTGGGGGGATCATGTAGTAGGGAGGTTATATAGGAAAGTCTGTTTCCCTGTCTCTTCCCCTGACCTCTTTCTGCTGCTTTTCCGAAGGGTGTACCCATGTGGGAATGCAGCATCCCAAGTGCAGACACACTRCAGATGGAAAAGTAAGGGTTACTATTTCCACCCTGCTCTCAGGTGTGATGTATCTGTGTATGGAGACCAGGAACACTGATGAGCAGCAGCAGCATGACTAGAGTTGTGATTGATTGATTTTCTGAGGAAAAAAAAAAAAAAAGTGGCTCGGATCAGCCCTGATTGAATGTTTAAAAATGTTTTTTCACTGAAGCAAAACAGGAAAAGAAGTAATCTGAGGGCATACTAACAAAATGCTGCGGGAAGACAAACTGAGATGGTTTTTTGTGTGGGYGGAGGGTAGAAAGCTGTGACACTGTTTTCAAAGTGAGAACTGGAAATGCTTTGAGATTTGTTGGCTTTGGTTTTGGTTTAATGACAGACAAAACCTTTCGGGAATTGCTTTTTTTTAAAAGAACTCRAAGTTAGTGTTGATTCACGGGGTCTTTGAGAAACTCTGAAAATGTGGGGCTGGGATGGTACCAGGTGGTGTGGGACAGGCAATGCTTTCTGGTGCTTCAAAGAACAGCTGCTCACTGCAAKGCTGCTCCCAGGGCAAGTGGTGAATGAGGACACTGGTTCTATTTCCACAGCTGATGGCCAGGGCTGGGGCAGAGAGAGCCCTCTTAGCTGCACTGCACATTGCAGTGTCAGTGGTAAACAGGGGGAGGCAAATGTGTGTTCTGGGCTCCTCCTGTCAGGTGGAATTGAGATAACTGGTGAGGCTCAGCAGAAAGACATCAGGGTGGTCAAGGGCCAGGAACAGAAGTCCTGAGGAAGAGAGGTTAGGGGAGCTGGACTTGCTCAGTCTGACAAAGAAGAGGTTTGTTGTTATCAGCCGTTGTCTCCCAACAGCTTCAAGAAATAATTCAAAGATAACAAAACCAAAATCTCTTCATAGTATTAAATTATATGATAAGGAGCAGCGACCACAACTGGTAGTGCTGGAGGTTCAAACTGGACAGTAGGAAAACTTGGTTTCCTCAGGCAAAACCATTTGCTTGTCCAGGCAAAACCATGCTGCCCTCATGCAGAGCAGGAGACAGCTCCAAGCAGGAGATTGAGTGGGATGCCTCTGGAGGTTCCTGGCAGTTGGCATTTCAGTCTCCCCCTTCTCATGCCATCCCAGCCATGCTGCCCAACGCCTTTTCCTCATCGTCTCCCTCTTTGTCTGGGTCTGTCTGTCCTTTGGAACGGCCAGGTGGATGAAAGCATTGCCAGTGGCAGTTGTCCATGAGCACAGGAGAAAGCTGGCTCCCTTCAGAGATGGCCACAGGGGCTCTGCAGGCTGTCCCTGGGCCAGCCAGGGCTTACAGCCAGGGTTTGAGGCTGAGCCCAGAGCTATGCCAGGAGCCAGCCCAGCAGGCAGAGCCCAGTCTGGCTGCCTGCCCAGCATGCCAGAGCCCAGTTTCTGTCTTACAGGCTCCTTGAACCTGCTGGTTCGYGTGCGGAACAAGCGAGCCATCGACACCCAGGTCTGGTCACTCAGTGGCAATCGGGGGAACATGTGGCAGCAAGCACATGTGCCCATCAACCCTCCTGGRCCCTTCCAGGTAAGCCAAGCCCAGAAAAGGAGCCATCTGCCACCCCTCCTATCCGTGTGCCACGGATGTAGAAGATTTCCCAGCAGACATCTTCCTCTGTTGCACTGGGGCTGGTGGGACACCAGGGAGGACACTGGGAGCTTTYGACCCCCAGGGTCACCGGGGCAAGGCAAAGGCTTAGCAGATGCACAGAATCAAATCCCCTTCTCTCTGAAGTTTTTGTGTGGAAGCATCAGTTTGGCACTATAAATTTTCTGATTATTGCTGGTCTGGAAACTGCTTGTCACAGAGTTCCTTTTGGTGCCGTGTCTTTGTGACAGACAGGTCCCTTGGTGCTGAGCCCCTGGGGATGCTGCCCTGTTGGTGCAGAGTGACTGAGTGCTAGAGATTTCTTCTAGCATGTGCTGTAAGAGCCCACTCCCACTGTGCCCCTCGCTCAGGACTCCAGCAGAATGAGCTCAGGACTCCAGYGAATGTGAAATGGGCACCCTGCGTGTGCTCATCCAGCTCTTCATGTGCACCCAGGCAGTGAGCTGTCTTCAGTGCTGTGGTTTTCACCCAACAGATTGCTTTGCTGTTCTAGGGTTGTTTGTGAGAGCTGYTCTGTGCAAGCTGGTAAGTTGTGGCACCATGGCAAAATGCTCAGTGTGCTTTTGGATGCTTCAAAATAAAACATTAGAATATTTAGTTACTTTTGCAAGTCCTGCTCAGTATTCGTTAGCTTGTTAGAGCAGGACAGTTAATAAAGCAGAGCTCTACATGCTCATTGTTACTGTACAGATGATCAGCACAAAGAAGTTGGTCCCATAAACAGTGGGATCTGGCTTTYCAGATTCTACAAGTACTGGAGAAACAGGGAGGAATCATTCTCTTGAGGAGGTGATAAGATCTGAGCTGTGTCCTGCTCGCCTCTGCAGAGCCCTGCAGCGCAGGAAGGGCCCTCCACAGCTGCAGCCTCACGCTGGGCTCTCTCCCCTGCTCTGCTTGCAGATCATCTTCGAAGGTGTCCGGGGCACGAGCTATGAGGGGGACATTGCCATCGATGATGTCACTCTGAAAAAGGGAGACTGTCCAAGGAAGCCAATTGGACCGAATAAGGGTGAGACTGCGTGTGCCTCAGGGGCAGGCGAGTTGATGGCAGTGCATTCACACTGGCACACGCTGGGGTTGCTCAGCTGATTTAGAGCACACCGGTGGGTCGGTGGGATTCAGCAGGATGGTTGACTCCACCAGCAGAAATCAGCAGAGGGGCTCTCAGACTCTTGGACTTGTTCTTTACAAATGAAAGTTAACAAGAGTCAAAAGAACARCTAGGAGGTGCCATCCCCAAGAAGCTAAGGATTTTTGTGATATCTCATTTCCTGGAAACTCTGTGGRAACTTTGGAAAGGGAAAGACCTTCTGCTGGCTTTAATGGCCTCTGTGATGTTAAGTCAGTCCTTCTCCAGGATAAAAAAAAAGTCTGCTCTTTGGGGCATGAAACAAGGTAGGGCTGTGCTTCTTGCCTTTGGCATCTGAGCAAAGGCACAACCAGGCTAAATCCCAGCAGCCCCTTTCCAGTCCATCCACACAAACTGGTGCCAGCATTGCAGGAATGGAGACAGCTCCACTGTCTCTGAGGTGCACTGTAGGTTGAAGSCACAGCGAGGTGTGTAAGCAGCACACAGGCACTGGGTGACAATCAGTGGTGTGCCTTGTGCCTCAGTCCTGCCTGTGCTCTCAGTCACATGCCTCGGGTGGGCAGGAGGGCATGTTCAGAGATGTTCAGAGTGTGCAAACCAGAGACACAAAGGCATGCAAGAGCAAGGTTCAGTTTGGTTTATTTATTTTTGAAGGAAAAAAACTGCTTGAGTAAGAGACAATGCTAGCAATTTGCTTAACTCCAGAGGTGAAGGGGGAAACAAAACAAAGTCAGAGCAGCCTAAAATTTTCAGAATTGTAGGTCTGTTTCAGCCTAAGCTGTTACCATAACACAATGAGAACCTTTTGTTTGACTCAAGTTGAAAGTTCTGGGGAAAGGAGGATTGTATTGAAAAAGTATCTAAGATTTAATCTTTTCACCAAAGTTGGTTTTGGGARAACTTGAGAATGTCCAGGAAAGGCTCAAAGTATCTTCCAAAAATCGGGGAGCWCTCTGTGGTTCAGGGTGGGAGAAGACATTGATGTGCACTGACTTGTTTGGTGAGATTTGTATCTGTCCCATCACTAATTCTCTTTCTCCCTTCTCGGCTGGCAGCTGTTGCTCTTCCAGGGAGTGGTGTCCCAGCCCTGCACAGCTCTTGTCTTTGTGGCCCATTGACTTTCTTCCTTTACGTGCTGCTCAGATGATGGCAAGCGAGCGCTCCTGTCTTCGGACCAAGACATTCCTGCTCCTTTCCTACTCAGCCACCTCTGCTCCTCTTCCTCCCCTCCTCACTGGCACACCAAAGTGTCCATATGTTACCAAAGACTGACAGGCATGACCACGCAAAGGGATCTGGTTCAGAACTGGAGCACTCCTTGAGAAAGTCATAATGTCTAGAACAAAATTTAAAAATAAAGACTGAACTTTTTTTAAAAAGCACGTGCACGAGAGAGAGTGAGAGAGAGAGAGGAAGGAAAGAAATATACACAGAGAAAAGAAGGAATGAAACACGAAAAATAGGAATGAAGAAATGTGAAGAGTAAATGAAGGAAGAAAAAAAACAAAAACAGCCCCATGTTTCCTTGGGAATATCGGACAGGGCTTCCTCATGGAAGTGGGAACTTGTTTTAAACAAACAAACAAAAATATATTAAAGCACAAATTTCTACCAGAGCAGTTACCTTCTTTACTGCAGAGCCCACAGCGTAGTGGATGATATCCTGCAGTTCTCCCCTTGTCTCCTCATGCTTTCCCGCTGGCTGGGGCTGCCCCTCTCCCTGCAGCAGCACCAGCCTCGTCCGTGGGGATGGCCGGAGCGCCTGGCCTCGCACCGCATGTGCTTCAGTGTCTCCATCCATCCTCATCTTCCCGGCTCTCATGTATTTTATTGCCCCCGGTGTGGTTTGCTTTGGCCTTTCCCCACCACTCCGTGCTTCTCATCCCCCGGCCTGAAGAAGATGGAGCAAGGAAGGGACGGATGACACGGACCACGCTGAGTGCTGGAGAAGTCCTGGCTGGATCCAGCGGCAGCACTGGCKCTAAGGGCCTCTTTCTGTCTCTCAGCACTCTTGCTGGGTAGGGAGCAGGGCTGAGCTGCAGACAGAAGGGTCTGGTCTCTGTGGGGCTGAGGGATGGGCTGTGATGGGATGGGACTGGAAGGGTGGAGCAGTTGCACAATGGCTTCCCCTTGTGAATATTGGGATAACAACTGCCTCAGCCGGAAGCCCAGGATTGCTTCTCTGCCTCTRTTTCGTTACCTGTTTATTTTGGTTTTTATTCCCTTGCTTAGCTTCCTCCACCTCAAGTTTTCTGGATTACGGGAAGAGTAAAGCATTTAAACATTTTGCAGCCAGCCAGCAAGTCCTGTGCCTGTGGCCCAGCTCCAGTGCTGCCCTCTCACCTCCTGAGGCTTTTTCTCCATGCACAGTGCATTTTCTGCAGCGTTGGCAAAGGGTGCAACAGCATCACTGCTTGGGGCTGAGGTGGCTGAATTTTGTCAGCACATGCAGCCACACAYTGCCAAGGCAGTGGGCAGAGGAGCTGAAAGGTGGAACAGGCAGGAAACTGCTCCAAGAAGGATGGAGGCAGGACGTTGGCCCAAAAGAGGGGCTTGTGCTGAACTGTAGCCCTGTTTGCCACTGAGGAGCAAGGGAACAGGGATGGGGGAAATCCACCTTTTTCCTGCTGGCATCATGGGTGGGTAAAGCTGGTGCTTCTCTCTGCTGCAGACCTGTAGCAGATCTGGCCTAACCTCCTCAAGGTGGAGGCACGTGCTACTCCAAATGAACCTCCAGGAGAAGGATTTTCCCTGCACTGGMCAGACAGGAGCTGTGATAGCCTTGCTGCATCTGGAAGCAGCTCTGGGCATGGCTTTCCTCCCTGCACAGGGCAGAGTTAGCCCCTCAAGGCTGTCAATTGGGGTTTACTGCAATTAGTTCAGTGGGACTCTTCCTCTTAAGGGACACCCTATCCAAAATCCCTATCTGTAGCACCACAGATAAGCTAGCTGTCTCACCGAAGACCCAGTAGCCATGGCTCCTTACCCATTTCTRATGAATATATCAGCTTCTCCAAGACAGCTGTGTTTGTCTAAAACCACCTGAATGTATTGGTTGCCTCYTGCACTGCTCAGCTTCCAGCCACAGCTGGGCCCTCGTTGCCTTCACTGATGGAGGGGAAAATCTGACTTAACTCCCAGGAGATCCAGCCACCGTCAGAGAGAGAAAGGACATCAGTTCTGAGGGACAGGGGAGCCTTCTTCACAGGAGGCCTTGCAAGGCAGTGGGAGAGGACGGTACAGGTCTCCCCTGCTCATTTTGCTTTTCTCCATTTAGGACTGTGTCTTCTCTGTCTCCACTACTCCCTCCAGAGCCCAGACCTCAATCACACTGCACATTTGACCAGGAAACCAGTGATTGCTGCCCAGGGCCAGGCAATGTAAGGGGATTTAGTGGGTGCCGACAGCAATTCTATATCTTGCAGTCTGTTGCTGTTTTCCTGGGCAGCCAGTGCTGCCCTTGTTCAGGCTGAGCTCTTCCAGTGCTGTTCCCTTCCTTTCCTCCATGCTTGTTGAAAGTCAGAAGTCATCACCCCACTCCTGGTGAGAGTCCACCTGCCCTCCTAGGAGAGAGACAGTGCTTTCCAGGGGCCCTTGGGAGCTGCACAATCATTTTGCTCCTGATCAGCAAAACCTTTGTGCTGCATTGCTGGTTCCAGGAGGCTTCTGCTGGACAGAAAGTGGAGACAAGAGCGCTTCCCCATCAGTAAGAGATAGCCCAGGGCAACCATCTCACCTTCTAAGCTCTGAGGCAGACACCCTTGTGGGCTYTTCTACTCACTGCTTGGCCCAGGCTACACAAGCACCTGGGCTCTGCTGGTGTTTAGTGAGATGGGGCAGGGGAGAGGCAGCCTGAAGGTTCGTGATGATGGACAAAGCATTAACTGAGGGGCGAGCGTCAGCAAAGGGGCACCACGGTTTGAGAAAGGGCCACCTGCAGGGGGGTGTCCATGGCCTGTTGCCAGCTCCTGCGAGGAAGGTTGGAAGAGCCTCACCAAGCCAATATGGTACAGGGGCCAGAAGCCTTTTGGTGGCTGTAGGTGCAGGGCAGAGCAAGGAGGTCACCCCAGCCAGAGGTGAAGCCTTCTCCTGCTGTCAGGTGTCCATCAGCTCCAGTAAAGTCTCAGGAAGCCCCTTCCCACTTAGGCTTCTGCTCTTTTATTTCTGGAAAGCAGCTGGGGATGAGTTTGGGGGAAAATCATGAGCCCAAGTGCCTCTGCTTGACAGAAGTACCAAGGACAAGACTTCATTTCCCTGGCAGATGTGCTGAAAGAGGGTATCAGAGGAAAGAAGCATTTCAGCAGCAAGGATGGGAAGCTGTGCAGTRATGGGGTGGAGGGGAGGCAGGGTCCCTCCCCTTTGAGGATAGTGGGATTTGTGGTTTACTATCCTACACTTGAGGGGCGAGTCTCCTTGTGGTGGTAATGCATCCCAGGTGAGACATAAAGCCATGCTCCTTACTCCTTCCAATTAAAGACCCCTTCACATTTTTCACAGTGTTCTGGATAAATTACTGTCCTTAAACTTAATTACAGTCTGTCTTCTTAAATATCTGATGCGGTCCCAATGTTATGTTTCTCTTCCTGATGTTTTATGTTGTTCTGTGCCTATCGAGTAGCTGCTTTATTCCACTCCAGAAGTGGCTGCWTTTCAGCAATGGTGGATATTATTCCTGTATATAGTATGAAAGTCCCTGCAGAAGAAAAGTGCAATATAAATTTAAGASACTGCTTTTATTTACAAGGAGACCTCTGCTTGGTAGTTGTAGAAATACATTAGGAAGAATGCTGTGTGGGTGTTAGCCSATATATACTCCATTTCTTTTTTTTTCAGGGTATAAAACAGAAAATACGTGAGTGTGCAGGCTCCTGGGTATAAGTTGTAGATATTRGAAGTAGTGAATGCTACTGTGTAGTTACAAGTGGGGCTTACAAAGAAACTAACATTTGAAACCTCTTTTTTGTAGTTGTTCACTGTATTCTGAAAAATGCACTTTTTAATTATAGTTTTCTACAGTTCAGTGCAAGTCCAAACAACAGGTCACCAACAGAACTTTAATCCACAGCTTTTAACAAGATGAACATCAGTTCCTACTGCTYGCCCTGAAATGCAGTTCCTGGCTGGTAATAGTAATAGATTCCTTTTCTTCAATGATGATCAGCCATTGGAAAGGGATGCACCTAAGATGTTCCATTTGAKCTGGAGTTAAGTAATTAGCAACACCCGAGAGTAACTCTTCCCAGCTGCATGGGAGTGAGTGAAAAAAGTTTCATGTATATGAAAAACTTTGCATGCTGCACAAATTGTTTGGGAGCTCCTCATGGGTCCCTTTCATCTCAGCGTATTTGGTGATGCTGTGACTGGCAGGCRTGCAGAGCTGCTCCAGCAGAGTGCACCAACAGTGATCTACGTGGAGCCCTTCTTCTGGGAACTAGTTATCTTCTGGAAAGCAACATGGTAGCAATCAGCACAAAAGTAGGGGGGACTTCATATATTTAGCCTGGTAATTGTTTTGCAGAAATAATTTAGAGATGTGTGAGTGGGTATAGTAAACATGATAGAAATYGTATTTTACTCCCTATTGCTATTCAAAGTACTGAAGTCTAATTTCTTGCTATACAAAATCCTGTGGGTGCAGTACTCCAGAATGACAGAAAAAAATACTACCAAAGGGGGAGCAGAGTCTGGATTCCTCCTCTTCAGCCTATCACTCCCTATCACTGTGCCAAGAAAAGCACTCAACTTTTGGGTGGGGGCTGGGTGCTTCTTAGCCTGGGAGGGACMGTCAGTGGTGCTGGTGGGAGAAGCATCCCTCCATTGCTGCCCTGAGCCCCGTCTGCAGTGTGAAGTGATCCCTGTGCTGTCAGGAGCAAGCCCTGCTCCCCACTAGCTCAGCGAGGCCGAGGCAGGGAATTTTACCTATGGGAATTGCCAGGGGTCCTTCGTGCTGCCCTGGGGAACCTCTCCTGCTCCAGGCAGGGACAGGCAAAGGAGCCAGGGCATTTTCCCTTCTATGTGGAGTAAATGGTGTCACCTCACCCCACCTGAAGAGACAAACMTTTTTGTTAAAGCAGAGAGCTGAGGGAGTTGCTGGGTCAGGACTATTGCTTTTTTAGGCACATTTGGCTGTCAGCACCCTTGCATCCATTTTTCTCTGGGAATGCTGCAACACCCCTTTACCTCTGGGTGCCTTTGGATGGCCGAGCAACAGCAAGGAGGCACACATCACCACGGGCTCTGTGCTTCAAGCTGGATGTGGTGGGACACAGTTCCACAGCAGGTGATGCCCAGTTCCTGCACACAGGGRGAAGGAACCTCCTTTTCAATGAGGACAAGCAGTTGCATTGTGAGTATTTCCTGTGCAAAGGACAGGCCTTCTTRCAGTCCTGGCTTTGGCAGAGACCCCTTTTGGTCCCTTAAACTGCCCTGATAACTTGTCTTCTCCAGGCTGGGGTGGGTGCACTCCTGTTTGTAACAACAAGTGTGCAGCAGCAGGACCCTGTGCAGGCTGTTGTCATAATTTGTATTTGATTTGGCCCAACTGATAACTGCTCATCCTCAGACAAAAGACTTTTGCAGAAGATAAATGCTGGAGATCTCTGGATATTGCATTCTAACAGGACCAAATTCCCACTCCATGGTAATAAAGACTGGCAGCTGTTGGCTTCCAGCAGGGAGCTGAATGTCTCCATGCACGCAGCATCTCAAATGATTGCTGTGCTATGTGTGTGTTTTCTGTACTTCCCTTGGGAGTAAGGTCACTTTGGCTGACCATCTGCCACCACCCAGCACACCACAGGGCATTTTGGGGCATTTTGGATGGCTACTTACACTCTGGTATAGTCACATCAAGCCAGAGACATCCACTTGTGCCCTGGGGGCTTTGAACATCCCAAGGAGCACTTTCAGCAAACAGGCCCAGGGCCACTTTTGACCAGCCTGCCATTCCAGAGAGGGAGAGGATGCAGCTTGCAGGGAACCGTGGAAAAGCAGTGCCATCCCTCTGTTTTGTCTGAGATGTGTGCTGGACATGCCAGACCCTGGGCTGTGATCCAGGTGCATGCTCAGTGGCTTTGCCATCCAGCRTCCTTTCTCCAAAGGACAGAGAGCTCCAGAGACTGACAGCAAGTCAGCAGGGCTTATTGTGTCCCTGTGCTGCATGGGCA